AAAAAAAAAAGAATTGTCATTGCAGCCACGCAGGCTGTTAGTACTGACTGACCCTTCTGGTAGGGTTCCTGGCCTAGTGTGGGCCTGCTGTGTGGATGGCAACAATATGGGTCCACTAGAGTCTGGCCCTTGCTTTGCAGACCATCCGGGAGGTGCAGCCTGATGTGGTGGTTGTGGAACTCTGCCAGTACCGTGTGTCCATGCTGAAGATGGATGAGAGGACACTGCTACGAGAAGCCAAGGAGGTCAGCCTGGAGAAGCTGCAACAGGCCATCAGGCAGGTATGCACACACATCAGCAGATAGTAGACTGTGAGCACCCATCTCTACATAGGGACCTTGGCTGCCGTCCCTGCTCTGTAGAGAAGGGGGCTGAGGCTCATGGCCCAGAGTCTCCTTTGAGCCTGTGATAGATAGGCTTCTCGCTGCACCAGCCTCCTGCCATAGTGCCCTGGTTGCAAGCCTTCCCCAAGGGAGGATAGAGGTTGATCTGTTAGCTTCCGGACAAGGGGAAAACACAAGGCGGGAGCAGGGCAGAGCTGGGAACCCTGGTTTGCTAAGCTGAAAGGATGGGTCTCAGCATGGTCTGGCCTCCCACGGAGCTGCATGGCCTTTGTCCTCCACATTGCCCCAGCCCTGCAGGGATAGGAGAGGCAGCACCTGGCAGCACATCCTTGTGGTCTGTTTTCAGATGGCACCAGGCACAGCTTGCCCCAGTTGCAGTCAGTGTGCCTTCCCTTCTTCTGAGGAAGCAAGTGATAAAGTCTCACGGGAGTGTCCCCAAACAGACTGGGCCTGCTTTACACCCTGGAATCTCCCAAGTGAGGGATGTTACCATACACCTTTACAGGCTAGCTACCCTATAAAAGGCAGTCCCCAGCAGCTAGAAAGGTGGTTCAATGGTTAAGAGCACTGGTTTCTCTTAACCTGTGAGCCATCCTCCAGCCCTGGTGAGTTTTTATTTTAAGCTGGCCATATGAGCACAGCAGACCTCATCTCCCTAGTCACTTGGTGCTGCCTAGCCTAAGACCCTATCTCATGGTTAACTTCCAGTGCCGTGAAGCTCGGGTAAGCGAGGACACTTCTGTGAGCCCACCAGAGCTCAGAATGTACTTTCCTGGGTCAAGGGCCAGACCTTCCTGGGAAGGTGCAGTCTGAACAGTCCACACAGCAGCTCCTTCCTAAGGCAGTAGGCCCATGCCAGAATCTCACAACCCTGCAGAGTAGGACCTCAGCACCCCAACCCACATCTCAGGGCTCAGTCAGCCTTCCCAGACCAAAGGCAACCACATTGCTTCTGTGGATGGATGTGGAAAGCACTAAGTATCAAAATCTGCCACACAGATACATGGTCTGGTCGTCCCTTTTCCATACCCTTAACCATTCTGTAAAGAAATCTTTTTTTCAGAGGAAACGTATTTGAGTGACTCTTGAGGCCAAGGTGACCTGCTACTGTCTGACCCTCTTCATGTACCAGTGTAGCCTGCCCCCCAAGGACACTCAGAGGGTCAGGGGCCTGGCTCACAGGCCACCATGCTGTACTCACACTGCTCTGCTTCCTTAGTCTGCACAGTGTAGCTGATGTGGGCCCTCTCCCTGCAGAATGGACTCATGTCAGGGCTCATGCAGATGCTGCTGTTGAAGGTGTCCGCCCATATCACTGAGCAACTGGGCATGGCCCCTGGTGGCGAGTTCAGGGAGGCCTTCAAGGAGGTAGGTGCAGGGCACAGCCTGAGGGGACTCTAGATGCAGAGGATGGGGCGGGGTAGATGATGAGAGCTACCTGTGGCCCTAACACCCAGCCTCTGCTTCAGGCCAGCAAGGTACCATTCTGCAAGTTCCATCTGGGTGACCGACCCATCCCAGTCACCTTTAAAAGAGCCATTGCTGCACTCTCCTTCTGGCAGAAGGTCAAGCTGGCCTGGGGTCTATGCTTCCTATCTGACCCAATCAGGTAGGAAGTTTCTCTGGCCTGCCTGTGGCACATCCCACACCTGTACCAACCTTGTATTCTGGTCCACTCTCCTCACACAAGGCCCTTGTCCTCCCACCATAAATGCCAACACAATACTTGTGGTCCCTGTCCTGAGTCAACAACACAAGCTTTCCTATGACCCATCCATCACACCCCTGGGCTGCCAGCACACCCCTGCCCATCCCTGTAGGCAGCCAGCATACCCCTTGCTCATCCCCATGGGCTAGGAACACACTTTTCCTTTAGCAAGGACGATGTGGAGCGCTGCAAGCAGAAGGATCTGTTAGAGCAGATGATGGCAGAGATGATTGGCGAGTTTCCAGACCTGCACCGCACCATTGTCTCAGAGCGTGATGTCTATCTGACCTACATGCTGCGGCAGGCTGCCCGACGTCTTGAACTGCCCCGCACCTCTGATGGTGATGGACAGGCCAGGGTGGGAACTCCCCAGGACACTGGTTCCTGTGTCTTCCACTGACCTTTGCCCTCTCCTGACAGCTGAGCCCAGGAAGTGTGTCCCATCTGTGGTCGTGGGTGTTGTTGGCATGGGTCATGTGCCTGGCATTGAGAAGAACTGGAGCACCGACCTCAACATCCAGGAGATCATGACGTGAGTACCTTCTCCAGCACGTCCCTTGAGCCCCCAGTTGCGTGCGGTGGTGACCCATGCATGGGGAGACCTTGGAAGTATGTGTTCTGCCAGGCCTACTCCACCTCTTCTTCCCACAGAGTCCCCCCACCATCCATCTCTGGCAGAGTGTCCCGGGTGGCCATGAAGGCTGCCTTCTTTGGCCTGCTGGGCTACGGCCTGTACTGGATGGGCCGCCGAACCGTGAGCCTAGTCCTATCTCTACCTGCTGCGCAATTCTGCCTCCAGAGGGTGAGCGAGGCCCAGCCAGGCCGGTAGGAGGTCCGTGCGAAGAAGTGACCACACCCAGGGGTTCTGCTCTCCTGCATCACAGCTGGTACTCCCGAGGAGCTGGTACCACCTGCCTGGGGATGTCCCTGGGTGCAGATGCATCCAAGCCACCCCCCCCCCATGGGGGCCTAGGCCAACCCTTCTCTGCCTTCCCCATCTCCTGCCCACCCAAATAAAGAATTATTTAACTGTCTGAGCTCAGGCTTCCCAGCAGCTCCCCCACACACACTGCAGAGACCACCTATGAGTTTCAGAGCTGTCCGCAGTGTGGGGACCCAGTGACCCAGTTCCAGGAGGGCCAGAGGCTGCAGAGAGACACTGAGGTGCCCCACCCCTCCAGCCCCAGGGTGGGCCTGGCAAATTGCTGCTGTACCTACCTCACTGTGCCTTGTGCTCTGGCCGGCAGGAGCATCTGGCCCAGAGTGCATTTCACTGTGGGTTTGGGGCCGGCGAGTTTAGGAAGCTGGGGGTCCATGCAGCTTCCTCCTGTGGATGTGTGGGACCTTTGGCATCCTGGACATGCATGTGGCATTGCCAGCTGCATCTCTGACTCCAGAGAGTGTGGTTTTGGCTTTTTTTTTTTTTTTTTTTTTTTTAATGTCTGAAAGTTTTTTTACTCAGGTAATTTTAATGTCAAAGAAAAAACAAGCAAATGTCAGGAAATACAAGCCTTAAATCCAGTGAGGACAAAGAAGATTCTTTTTCTGTGTCTGTGCCCTGAGAGTGGGCAAATTTATGTCAAAGGGCCAGTCCTGCTGGACTTCTACAGCCTAATGTGGGTTGGGCTGCCTCCAGTGTGAGCCTGCTTGCTGCCCTAGTTGCTCTTGGTGCTGGGAGGGACTTGACCTGATTCCTGTGCATTTGGTGGGCTGCCCAAACGGCACTGTGGGCTGCCGGCATCCACTGTGGACCACAAACCCAGGGCCACGGTTGGCTTGTGTCACATGGCTCTGCATGTGGTGGTAGTTGCACAGTCTGGCAGGGCCAAGGCCACTCCGACTGTCCTTGTGTTGACTGTCAGATCAGGTGAAACTGTGAGCTGGGCAGGGGCTGTGGAGCTAGTTGGGCTGTGTATGTCTGTCTCACACTCGTTGACTCGTACCCTAGAAAGAGAAATAAATTTTAATTTTGGAAGCTCCGTTTTGTGAAGTGTGTGGAAATGGGACTCAGGTGATGGGGGTACTGGCTTCCTCTTGTGTCATCTGCCCGTAGGTCTGCAGAGTGCTGAGGGTACCCATGGATCCAAAGGGACATGCCACCCACCTCACCTATCTCAGCGAAGGACACAGGCTGGCCCCAGGTGCCCACTGATGGCTAGCAGGGTTGATTGTGTTAGCCAAGTGTATATACTTGGAACCTGTACACCTCTGGCTCATACTTCCCTGCCCTGCATATTTGGGAAGGGAGGAGGCAGGGCTAGCCTTGAGGCCCCTAAACAAAAGGTCCAGGAGCCAGGACCTGCCTGAGGAGACTGGCAGCATGGAGGGTGGCAGGGGCCAGGGACAGAGTACTTGGCTGGTGGGTACAGGGTAGCCTCTCCCATATGATTCCCCCCCTCCCCGAGTAGTCATGGCTGCCTGTTATTTGCTAGCTCTTTTCTCAGCAGTCTGGGTCAGCTCTGTGGTACAGCATTAATGGCCAGTGAGAGGGACTAGTACACTAGCTTCTCAAACCCAGAGGTAGGCTGGGGATCCCAGCTGGCTAAGCTTGCTGCTGACTAGATCTTTCCACAGGCCCAAGTGGTGGTGCTGGAACCCCAGTCTGGCTGGGCAAAGTGAGGAGTCGGGGTAACCTACTGAATCCCTCCACAGAATTCTACCCAACCTGTCGCCATGGCCCAGGATAGTCTCTGACCAGTTACCTGTGATCCATACCCAGCAAGACTTCTTGCTGCCCCCAGGCCTCGCTTGGGTCCTTCCTGGGAACATATGGGCAGATCAGAATAGGGACAGATTGGCTTAAGCAGCCCTAGACCATACTACCAGGCCAGGGCAAGGCAGACCCCCAAGGGTGGCCAGTGAGGCCCATGTCCAGAGGCAAGCAGGCTGGACACAGACTGAAGCTCCAGGACTTCACAGCCCACTGTCACAAAAAGAAAAGGTAGACACTGCCTAATGCAGGGTGGCGGCCACCAGCTTGATAGGACATCGTCTGCTGGGCTGTTACAGCCCTAACCTATTTTGGCTCTGGCAGGGAAAGACTGTTCTCAGATCCGGGGGGAAAAAAACCCAGGGCTTGAAGCAGAGGAGGCAGGTAACCCCTTCCAGATGAGCAGCTTGTCCACACACTGCCCTTCATCCTGGAATATTGACCCAGGAGGTACTTTGTGCCAAATCTGGGAAGAATGAGGCTGTTATACTCATGGTTGGCAAGAGGCAGGGAAGGCCCTCTGTTCTCAGCAGGGCTCCAGACACCCTTCCCCAAAGGCACAGCACTGCTAAAAAATAGGGAGAAACTCTAATGAGACTCCAGACATTCAGGAAGATGCACTGGGCATACAACATCTTAGCCAACAAATAACATACATCACAGTGGACAGTTAGCAGGCACTAACAGGATCAAGAAGATCCTCAGACACTCTTGAGGATCTTCACCTCATTTCCGAAAAGCTGTTTCTACTACATGCTTATATTACATTGGTGGGCAGAAAAATAAAGTAAGATGAAATAATGAAATTTGCAGGTAAATGAATGGATCTAGAAAAACTTATACTAAGTAACACAGACTTAGAAAAACAAATGACGTATGTTCTCCCTCATATGTGGAGTCTAGCACCAATTTCTTTTAAATTCCAGGTCCTTTTAATAAGATGATGCTATACAGCAGTCCTTCTGCATGAAATAACTGCCATCATCACAACTTCAGCTGAGCATGCTCACTAAATATTGTTACAATTGGGCTTGTTGATGGTTGTGCTCATTCATTAAAGGAGGGCCAAGCAGGGTCATTTGACCGTCATGGGATTATCCAGCCACTCTTCCCAGGCAACTGTATGTAATTTGACCCTAACCACACATGGCCTCCTGGATTTGGGGAGGGCTAAAGTATACAATCTGGCTAGGAAGAGGAGGTATGACCCATGCTGAGTAAAGGCTTTCCAGTGCACATACCCTCAGGTCATACATACCCTCAGCAACCCCTCAGTTATCTCTGTAAGTAAGCTCAGTAATTCATTGGTTCCCCAGTAAAACTTTAATCCAACATTGGCTCGACACTAGAACCTTAAAAGGGAATAAGCATTGCTTAGCATCCCCAGGAAAATAAGTCTCACAACAGATAGAAAATTTATTTGTTAATGCTATTATGTCTCATAAATATTTCTTAAAAAATGAGACTGTAAAAGGTGTTAAAAGGATATGGGAATGGAGATATTTTCCAAAATAGAAAAAATGAGAAAGCCTAAGCAATTGATGAAGGTCTGTGTAGGTCTGTTACAATACATAAAGGATGAGACAAAAATAATATACACATAACCTTAAAATTTCTATGGTCAGAGTTTAGTCAACTAGTTTAAAGGACAAAATATATAGTCAAGGTTTATCTAAGAATATTTGGGGTTTTTTTAATTTTTTTAATTTTTATGTACATGAGTGTATCACCTGCATGTAGGTAAATGCACCCATGTCGGGCAGTGCCCACAGAGGACAGAAGAGGCCATCAGATCCCCCTGGAACTGGAGTTACGGACAGTTGTTAGCTGCCATGTGGATGCTGGGATTTGAACCCAGATCTTCTGCAAGAACAGCCTGTGTTCTTAACCACTGAGCTACCTCTCCAGCCCCCAGAATATTTGTTTTTTTATCCAAGCCTTATCTACATAACACATGGTAATTAAAAGTACCAGACTGGTGGAACTAACCTTATTGGATGTTTGACAGCCATAGTTTGAGGCCTATACTAATACGGTCAGAGGGACTTAAAGGACAGTTTTTGCCCCTTGCCTTCCAAGGTCGACCAAGTTCCAGGGGACTATGGAACATCTCTCAAAATGTCCTGCTGAACCTGTCATCTTGTTCAGGGAGACCATGGAGACCACACCAGATGGACTTGAACCAGTGTCCAGTCTATGAAGAGGAAAGTAAACACAGAGGAAACATCTCTTTCATGCTTCCAAGTGAAGCCAGCCATGGTCAAGCAGGACCTTTGACTTATTTTCACATAGATGGGACTGGTAAAAGAAAGGAGCCAGGGCCTCCTCCCAAGCCCATGTGACCCCCGAGGAACACATCCTCAAATGACCTTAAGTATAAAATTAGTTGATTTATTTGGGCCAACTGTATGGTCTTAAACACCCAAAAGAAAAGTATAACCAAAGATTAAAGTATGAGTCTGTTTCTAATAAGACAATGCTACTCAGATGTAAGACTTCAAATCTTGGCCTGCAGTTCTGTAGTGCCCACCTGCAGCTGAGGGAGACAGCCAGCTATTGTTCTAGCCTAAAAGCTAAATGATGGCTAAATTTGTTTTCTCTCTCTATCTAGAAGCATTTGAGAAGGAACTGACATTGATTCTAGCTACTTGAATATCTGTCAAAGTGCCTGAAAACAAATCCTGAGTTCACTCTCGAGTCCAGCCTTGTCAACCCAAAGGAAGATGAGGAGGAACCCAATAGGTGGATGCTTTTGGAAGCCCTCATCAAGAAATTCCAGTGGACTTTGATTTGGACATTTGAATTTGCCCTGTCCTGACTGTTTTCTGGTTCCCTGTCTAGAACTTGTAATGCAAACTATTCTTGCTTTTACTTATCCTTCGCATCGCCTAGGCACCAGTCAAGGACTTCTTTTTTCCCTATAGTTAATAGTTATGCAATTTGGGAGTCTTTTAGATATTTAGAGATAAGAGTTATGTAATCTGTGAGTCTTTTAGATAGACCCACTGAAGGGGTACTCCAATTGCCTCACCCTGTGTCCCTGTTCAGCATGGAAGAAGTCAGAGTGGTCCATGTCCCGATTCCCTATTGGCAATTTGGTAACCTCTTCAGAGGATGGTGTGATAAGAATAGGAGGTAGGAATTGGCTAGGCAATTTGGGTAAATAAAAAGACCCCAAAGAAAAGTAGCCAGTTTCTTGGCCAAAAGTCAAAATGTCCTTGGGTCTCTTAGCAAAGGCCAAAAATGTTGAAAGTATTTTGGAGCTTGAATCTAATCCTTAAAATATTTTAGGGTTACCTCTTCAGAGGGGGAAATGTTAGAGTAGCCAAAAGCCCCATAAAAATAAATCAATCAAAAAAGAAGAAAGAGTACATGGAGTTAGAAAAAAATGTTGGGGAGCTAGGGAAGGAGTTGGAGGGGAGGGAGTGGGCATGGGATTTGATCAAAACACCTTATATGCATGTATGAAATTCTCAATAAAGTATTTATTTTTTAAAAAAAAGTACACACTCTTCAAACAGAAAGCATTTAGGAAGCCAGGCGTGGTGGCACATGCTTGTAGCCCCATCACTTGGGAGGCAGAGGCAGGCAGATCTCTGTGAGTTCAAGGCCAACCTGGTCTACCTAGTGAGTTCCAGGTCAGTTGGGGCTACAGGAAGACCCTGTCTCAAAAAGACCTAAAAAAAAAAAAAAAAGCCTTTGGGGTATGTGACTCAGAGAAGGGCAGGCCAAAGCTCCTGCTTGCTTTCCCTGTCAGGTTCTGTTACTTAACCGAGGATGGTGGCTGGACTGTGATCCAGGGTCAAGACTGGGTTAGAAAGATGCACCTAGGCTTTGCAAGGTTGGGAAAGCAGCATAAACAGGACTTCAGAGGCTTTGGAATTAGTAGGGTTGGGTTGGTCATGGGGCACAAGGCCTGGCAACAGGGCAGGGACCATGAAGGGGCAAGTTGTCTTAGACAAGATCAAGCAAAAACTGAGAGATGTGATTTGAAGGTACAGAGGTGCTGGCCAAGCCTCATGTCCATTCCTGAAGATGAACATTGGCTGGGGCTGGAGCATATATCAGACCTGAACTCCCAACCAGGCCTGCAGACCTTGCTGGCTGTGGAGCTGCAGGACACGAACAGCCTCATCCTTTGGACCCACTACACCAGCTTCCATGTTGGCAAGGAGGGCTAGTTCTGAGGCCTAACCTTGAGCCAGTACTCAGGAAATGTAGATGCTTACTTAGCCACATCCCCTTGCCCCTGGGGACTTTGTTCTTGCTTTTCTAGAAATGGAGAAGGTTTAAAGAGCAGTGGGTGAGAGGTAGGATGGGGATCCCAAGGCCCCCACTTCCCCATACCTCTTAGTCCCTTCTGGAAACAGTGTCTGCTCCCCAAAGCCTGGTCCTGACAGTCCCAGGTGGTGAGACAGCCCTGGACACCTCATATGTGAAAGAACTAATAGGGGAACAGAAAGAAGGGCTGCCAAACCCACTCTTCCTCCCCACATGGGTGATATATCCTGGGCCTCAGCCATACCGGCAGAAGGGCAAGTACCTTCAGCACCCCGGACTGAGACCATGATGTTTGTCCATACTATGTGACTAGCACTGGCAGTTTTGCCAGTTGCAGCCCATATTGCTCAGGCACCAGGCAGTAGTATAGCAACTGTGGCCTGGTCAACTTCAACAAGTCTTGGTCAAAGGATGCAAGGAGCCCCCTCAGGCCCACAGGTAGCAATGAGTAAGCCCTGCATGACAGCATGCTGCATGTACATATGACCTAGACAGGAAGCCTACATTCTACAATGGATCAGCCTGCCAGGTGGAGCCTCACACATTAAACATTCAAACCTGCTGTCTACTACAAACTTCTGTGTCAGCAAAGAGGAGAGATAGGAGTAGCAGGCAGCTACTGCCCCACCCAGTCCCTTGGGCCCTGGGCTGCCTGGAGGTCCCCAGGAGAAAGCCATTGTAGCTCAATAGTGTGGTCAGCAAAGAAGAAAGGCCTCTGCTCTTCTGTGCTACCCTGCTGGAGCCTTTTGTACAAGCTTGGTGAGGTCCCCAATGGGTCTCACAGCCTGATGTTCACAGATCTTTAATAATCTAGTTCCGCCAGATTCCTTAGTGCTGATCAGACAGAAGCTGGCCCAAAGCCAAACTGGGTCAAGGTAGGGAGATAGGTGAGGACCACCCAAGGCCTGGAAGGAGGGTGGTCTCACCAGACTTGGGGTAAGTCTCCTAGGACAGTTACAAAGGACACTGAAAACCAAAGCTGGTAGGGGCCAGGGTTGCTGTGAAGTGCAGGAGGGGGCTTTCCTCAGTCACCTTCCTACCTCACCATGTGGTTTCCTTATGCACAGTATCTCATACCCCATGCAAAAGGTAGGGAGATTCATTAGTGGACAGAGCTGGGTTCATGGCAGCTTCCGAAGGCACTTTGTGGCCCCAGGAAAAAGTTTCCCACGTGGTCCTTGAGGTGCAGAACTGAGGGCAGGGGCTGGAACAGAGTGACACAGCCGAGAGGGAGTGTGTGCATTTGACTAGGTCTCAGATGTTTGGAGCCAGGAGATTTCTCTGAGGGCTGGGCACTGTCCTGGCAGAACTTGTAGTCTAATCATCAAGGTCCCTACCCACCTGGACTGAGGTGACAGATACACAGAATAGAGAGATAAGTGAATGTGACCATTTTGGAGAAGTGTAGTGTAAGGAAAAACAGCGTGGTCTGAGGTGCCAGTGGAGAGGCAGTTGGGGGCAGAGGACGTAGTGCGCATGTGTGGAACCAGGCTCTAATTAGGCCAAGCACCCTGGCCTGGTACATAGCTCAATCTCTGCTTTGGCCTTGCCCTGCTACTACTGCTGATCCAAATGATCCCAGTGTGAAGTCCTGTGGTCAGCGCCCACCTGGCCCACACATCCCAGGGTCATTGCCAGGACCACTGGCCTTCCCATGGTCTGAACAAACGAAAAACTGTCCTAATGATAGGGACCCTGCATACTGTATACTATAAGAACACACTTGCACTTCACTCTGTAGGAAGAAAATCTACATGCACACATGGATAACGGTTTGCGCTGAGTTAACTTTCATTCTAGATGTAACCAGCTCAAAATAACCAGCTCAGAAAGAATGCAAGACTCGGGTTTTGCAACACTTCCTCTTGCAGAGAGAAAACCAGGAGAAAAGCACCAACACCATAAATCTCAGAGGTGACCACACTTTGGAAATCTCCTGGCTCCAAACATCTGAGACCTAGTCAAATGCACACACTCCCTCCTGGCTGGGGGTACTTCACTCAGAAAGCCCGCCCACGTGGGGTCTGGCACGTGTCCATCGTGTGGGTGCGGCCAAGATCTGACCGGGGCACCCGCACCGCGGAGAGCTTCAGTCCGCAGAGGTGCGGAAACAGGGAGGCAGCCAATCAGGGTCGAGTTTTTGGGAGCGCGCCCTCCACAGGAGCTGCCCCCCCGACCCCGCCCACCCGTAGTTGGGCGGGACTGGACTGGGAGGGGTGGGGCTTCCGGTCGGGGCGGCTCGGCTTCCGGCGGCCGGCGAGGTGGATGGCCTCTCTCAGGGCCGCGTTCTGTGCTTCGCTCGCGGCCGCCGGAGTTCGGCCGCCGGCTCTCCGTGCCACGCGCCTGCCCCCCGCGCTCTGGTCCTCCTGGACCGCCGCCATGGAGCCCGCGCCGCGGTGGCTGGCGGGGCTGCGCTTCGACAACCGCGCCCTGCGCGCACTGCCGGTGGAGCCGCCCGGGCCCGAGGACGCGCTGCGCACGCCCCGCCGGGTGTCCGGAGCCTGCTTCAGCCGCGCCCTGCCCGCCCCGTTGCGGCTCCCGCGCGTCGTGGCGCTGTCGGGGCCCGCGCTGGCGCTGCTAGGGCTGGAGGACGCCGACGCCGACGCCGAGGCGGAGGCCGCGCTCTTCTTCAGCGGCAACGCGCTGCTGCCCGGCGCGGAGCCTGCCGCGCACTGCTACTGCGGACACCAGTTCGGCCAGTTTGCTGGGCAGCTGGGCGACGGCGCCGCCATGTACCTGGGCGAGGTGTGCACGGCGGCGGGTGAGCGCTGGGAGCTGCAGCTCAAGGGCGCCGGCCCCACGCCCTTCTCCAGGTGCGCGGCCGGGGGCCTCGGGCATCACTGCCCCCAGCGGCTGGACGGGTCGGGGCTCGGTGGGTGGGAAAAGCTCCACGCCAAGGTTGGGACCCGGAAGGCGGAGCCGCGGACTGTGGCCGGGGAAAGCAGAAACCAGGCTGGACTCTCTGGCTGGCTGGGGTCTGCAGAGGGCTCCACCGGTCTGCTCTGTAAGTTGGCTCAAAGGAGCACACTTCCGACGGCTGGGGTCGCTGTTGCCATAAACACCCAGGACTTTGGAGCCATTTCCACGAATGACACTCTAGCTAGAGCGCTCAGCCCCGGGGCCGAGGTTCAGAAGTGGAGTGTTGGACTAGCATTGTAAGCACCTGTCCTGGAGTGCCACCTGAGCGGCCTGCGTCTCCAACTTGGTCTGGGGAACAGACTCCTTTCACGCCTACCTCCTCTGTGATCATTCTCTCAAGCCCGTCATTCCTAATCCTTTATCAGAGGGGTAACACTTGCATGTGGGGACTACATGGGTGGTCCAGGGCAGGCTAGGAAGACAAGACCAGGGGAGCTCTTCTCACCAAGTCCGACAGACAGGCTCCGAACTTAGGGCCCTGTTACTGTTTTTCTACATGATTTATATACTTTACATACTTGTTAAATGAGTAAAAGATACATGTAAGTCAGGATTTTTATGGTCAAACGCTCAAAATCTGCCTCTCGTGCCCTCTTCCTCCAGCTGCTAACATGCCAAGCATCTTCCAGCGGGCTTATCTTCATCTCTTAAGCCAGATCCTCAGAATAGTGGGTTCTTCCTCAGCACCCCACTCCCAAGCCTTTCAGCTCTGCCCCATGGCAGTTTTACTGACTCTCACGTGGTACCCCCCCCCCCAACAACCTTTTTAGAGGTGTCCCTGGAAAGTTTGGCAGACGTCACATTCTGGAGCCTGCTCATTCTGTGAGCAGCCTTAAACTTTGTGTTTTGAATAATTTGTGTTCGCTAGTTATGAGAAACGAGCCTATGATAGTTTACTCTTTGGAAGCCTTTATCGTGGTGCTGAGACTCAAACCCAAGGCCTTATATGTGCTAAACTGCCACAGAGCTACATATCCAACCATGAAAAATACTTTTCATAATTGAAGACTTGTAGTTTTTAGTTGGTGTTTCCATACCTGAAGTTGACTAAAATACATTTCCTTTAAGATAGGCATCCCTTTGAGCCTTGCTCAGGCCCCACTTGCCCTCATGTGTGTCTTAGGGTCTCTGGTCTCCTACTTCAAGACTTGAGGCTGAGTTGGGTTTGGACCCAGAGCGGATAGATGGGTTCTTTGCCCCTGCCGCCTCCCTCCCTTGGCTGTAGGACCTTCTGAACAAGCCCCTAATGGTGGACTCTGGAACTCCACACAGGAGCCTCAATCCTGTGCAGAGCCACAGAGAAGCCAGAACTGCTAGATGATCACACAGCCAGGGCCAGAGGGTAGTGCTGGTGGCAGAGTTCACAAGACACCTGCCTTGTATTTCTAAGCTCATGTTTATAGACCCAAACCAGGGTAGCATAGGCCACAGTGAATTTTTTTCCTTCCTTTATAATCTTTGGGGTTTTGTTTTAAATATTTCATTATTTTTATGTGTATGCATGTATTGCCTGCATGTAGGTAAGCACACCTGTCATGCAATGCCTGTGGAGGACAGAAGAGGCTGTTGGATCCCCTGGAACTGGACGGACAGTTGTTAGCTGCCATGTGGGTGCTGGGATTCAACCCTGGGTCTTCTGCAAGAACAGCCAGTGTTCTTAACCGCTGGCCATCTCCAGCCCCATAATCTTTGCTTTTTAAAAAAAAATTTATGTGTATGAATGTATTGCCTGCATGTGTGTGAGTACACCTATGTTGTGCAATGCCAAAGAGATCAGAAGAGAGTGTAGGATTCCCCTGGAACTGGAGTTAGGGACGGTTTGTAGTTGTTGCCATGTGGGTGCTGGGAACCAAACCTGGGTCCTCTGCAAGAACAGTCAGTGCTCTTAACCACTGAACCATCTTTCCAGCCCCAATCTTGTTTTTGAGACACAGTTTCACTATGTAGCCCTGGCTGACCTGAAACTCAGATACTGCCTGTCTCTGCCTCCAGAGTGCTGGGATTAAAGATCTACACCACCATACCTGGTCTTTTTTTTTTTTTTTGAGACAAGGTCTCCTAGCCCAAACTGCCTTGAAACTCACTGGGTAGCCGAGGCTGGCCTTGGACTTTTGATCTTCCTGTGTCTCTTAGTGCTGGCTGCACACAGCAGGCTGGTTTGCATGGATTCCAGATGGAGGCCTCTATAGGTCAGGGTATCCAGGGCTTTCATCTTGTAAGGAGGGGTTCTTGACATGTCCTGTCCAGGTAGGCACTCTTCTGTGCTGACATTGTTTTGCAAAGAAAGGGGGCCGGGGAGGGAGGGAGAAAGAAGAAAGAAAACAGGCTCGGTGTGTGAAAAGAATTCAGAGTGCACAAATTGTCAGCAGGTTATGGCTTTCGTGTCCCTCTGGGACCCAGCCCCTGCTCAGACTGTCACCCCGAAGTAGTTAGGTTGCCATGCGGTTTTGTTTCCTATGGGTGTGTGGGACATGCAGCATGTCCAGCAGCTGCTTCTCAGGGTACTGCCCACCATCTTTACGGGACCGTTAAGACTTTCTGCCTGCCTTTTGGGGTTGGAGCAGAGCCTATGCTTATCTCTGAGAACCCAGCAACACCGCACACACAAGCCTGTGCTTTTGTACCCACTCACAGTGTTTTTCAGTTTTTCTTTACTGCAAATAGTGCTGTGTGTATGCTTTGTTGTATAAGTTTTTTGTTTTATTTTTTTGTCTTTTTGAAGCAGGGTCTCCCTGTAGCCCCAGCTGTCCTGGAACTCACTATGTAGACCAGGCTGGCCTTGAACTCACAGAGATCTGCCTACCTCTGCCTCCCAAGTGCTGGGACTACAGGCATACGCCACCACACCCAGCTTGTACAAGTATTTTTGTAAATAATTTCATGAAGACAAAGCTGCAGGTTTGAGGGTGTGTCTCTGTCCTCACTTGGACTTAAGTCATACAGGCGCCACACCTGAACAGTCTTGGGATGTTGGAACATGTGAATGGAATCATTTGAAACATGGGTCTGGAGAGATGGTTAAGAACACTTGCTACTTATTATTTTTTTTTGGTCTTTTGGGACAGGGTCTCCCTGTAGTCCCAGCTGTCCTGGAACTCACTATGTAGACCAGGCTGGCCTTGAACTCACAGAGATCCACCTGCTTCTGCCTCCCTAGTGCTGGGATTAAAGGCGTGTGCCACCACACCTGGCTTATTATTTTTATTTTATGTGTATGAGTGTATTGCCTGCATGTATGTGAGTGCACCTGTGTCGTGCAATGCCGTGGAGGTCAGAAGGAGGGCTTCAGATTCCCCTGGAACTGGAGTTAAGGATGGTTCATAGCTGCCATGTAGGTGCTGGGAATCGAACCCGGGTCCTCTGCAAGAGCAGTCAGTAGCGCTCTTAACTGCTGAGCCATCTCTCTAGCCCCTTAAAAATCTTTGAAAAAAAATGATGGGTTGGCTGGGCCTGGTGGAACAGTGAGTTCCAGGACAGCTGGGGCTACAGGGAGACTGTCTCAAAAAGAAAGACAAGGATCTGGAGAGATGTCTCACTGGTTTAGAGCACTGGCTTCTCTTCCAGAGGACCTAGGGAGGGCCCAGGTTCAGTTCCCAGCACTCATATGGCAGCTAACAACTGTCCATAACTCCAGTTCCAGGGGACCTGATATTCTCTTCTGGTCTCCACAGGCACCGCACACGTGGTGCATTTACATACATGTAGACAAAACATTTATTTTATTTTTGATTATGTGTACATGTGTTTGTACACAGTATGGGTGACGGCAGAGTCAGAAGAGGGTATCAGCTCTACCGGAGCTGGAGTTACAGGTGGTTGTGAGCCATTTGACATGGGTGGTCGGACTCAGACTTAGATCCTCTGGAAGAACAGCAAGTACTCTTCACCACTGAGCCACCCCTCAGTTCCAGAAGTATTTTATATAGGGAGCTTAGGGGAGAGAAAAGGCAGAGCTCCTGTATAGCAAGAGGGGATCTCTGGGAGTGGGGTACCATTGAGCTGAAAGACGTGAGAAATAGGAAATAAAGCAGAGTGTGCCTCCCTCCCGTAGCTGAGGACAGCAGGAAGATGGGGAAAGAGGTGGTTAAATCAGGGAAAGAGAGCAGTGGTCCACATACTCACCCTCCTTCAGATTCCAAGCGAAATGCACCAGAAATGACTTGGGAATATTGGGGTGTCTTTGAGAGAGCTTTCTTGGTTCTATTATGCTTAGCATGAGAGACTAGGGTCCTGGAAATTGAATAGCCACCAAAGCCACCTCAAGCCAAAGGCTCTTGGGTTCTTATCTCATGAATTCAAAGATTGAAATTCATGGACCACAGTGGGTGAGTTTTGGAAAGACATAATGTAGAGAGTTTAGGAGAGAAAGAAGGCACAGCTCCTGTATAGCAGGAGGGGGCCCAGGAGTGGGATGCCCCGGATTTTTGTTGTTTTTGTTTGTTTTGGTTTGCCTAACTATATAGCCCTTGCTAGCCTAGAACTCAAAGAGAACTGCCTTTGCCTCCCGAGTATAGGATTAAAGGTGTGCACCATCATGGTCAGCTATGGTGCCTTCTTAAAAAAAAAAAAAAAAGGTACAGTTAAATCAGGAAAAAAAGAGCAGTGGTCCACATACTCACCCCATGGTGGCACATGTGCTGTTCTTCCAGCACCTGGGAGGCAGAGGCAGGCAGATCTCTCTGAGTTCAAGGCCAGCCTGGTCTACATAGTTCCAGGCCAGTTGGGGCTAACAGGGAGACGCTGTTTCAAAAAGACCCCCCCCCCAAAAAAAGCCATTGGGAATTTGGTCCTCGAATAGACCCTTGCCTGATTGGTTCAGTGGCCTGTGTGTTTGATTTCAGACAAGCAGATGGTCGCAAAGTCCTTCGGTCAAGCATCCGTGAGTTCCTGTGCAGTGAAGCCATGTTTCACCTGGGGATCCCCACCACAAGGGCTGGGGCCTGCGTTACATCTGAGTCCACAGTGGTGCGCGACGTGTTTTATGATGGTAATCCAAAATATGAAAAGTGCACGGTTGTGTTGCGTATAGCTCCCACTTTTATAAGGTAATGCTGGGGTCCATTAGGCCTATCTGTAAGTGCTTGCTCATAGATTGTAGAAGATCCATGTGTGTGCAGCCAGAATGTTGAGCCAAGCACATGAACAAGGGAGAGCAACTGGCTAGAGTCAGGATCTGGTCCCCAGTGCCTCAGGAAGTCCGGTCTACCCATGATGCTTCGTACCCACTGGGAAGGATTTGCAGTGTTGTAGGCGCCTGTTGTATTTTGGGTTGGAGTCTTATCCTGTGTGTAGTCAGTTGTGCCCAGCTCCTTTTCTGTCCCCATCCAGGCCCTTGGCAGAGAGTGAGATTGGCCCATGCAGTGTACCTTGGGCCCAGGATACCCAAGCAGTGTCCTGGGAGAAGGGGCTCCCTAAACAAGATTATGTGAAGGTATGTGTAGACAGATGGTCCATAGGAGTTTAGGCCAAGAGCTACTTAAAATTCCCACAAGGAAATGGCCTCACTTAGTGTTAGCATAAATGGGCTAGTGTAACTGAAGTGTCCCAGGCCTTATGGTCTTTTGTAACCATCCAGTGGCTCATTAGCCCAGTCCAGGCAGGCGCCTGTCTTTGCTGTCACCTCAATCGTGTCTAAAAAAATACTTTTGGGGCTAATTATCTGAACCAGGAACTGCCAGGAGGAGGCTGGAGTGATCTTATGGTTTTTCATACTGCCAGGTACAGGCTGGTTAGTCCCTTAATAAGCACTATCCGCCACAAAAGACCAACTGTTGGGCTCTGGCTTTTCTTGACCCCTGGGGGGATGGGAAGGACCCATGACTAATAAATTGTACTGCACTCTGGAAGCCCTTTCCCCCTGACTTTGTTGACATTTGAGAGCCTTATAGTGTCCATAGCATCGCCCCCTTTCCCAAGAGTTGCTAATAGCATTCCCAGCCAAAAATGTCTGCAGACATGCCTGATGTCTCTTATACCCTTATACGTACTATTTGTAGTAGAAAACCCTGCTTGTCCTGACAAGATGTGGGGTACACGCAGAACCTTCTGTGGAGTTTGGCTGGGGGAAGAGACAACCACAGTAGTTTCTGGGCCCCATAAGCCTCCTAGGTTCTGAGAATGAGGGTCTCACTGGCAGTTGACCAGACTGAGCTATGTCTGACACTCAGAGTTTGGCTATTGCTTTGCTGTCAGGGTACTTTTCCATTGTAGGGCTCCAGGGCCTCGTACCACAGATACGTTTTCTTTTTCTCACAAGGGGCTGGGGTCTCTCTGGCCTGTTTAACACTGGAGTTTTTCCTGCAGGTTTGGCTCCTTTGAGATTTTTAAGCCCCCTGATGAGCACACAGGGCGAGCAGGCCCCAGTGTGGGGCGGAATGACATCCGAGTCCAGATGCTTGACTATGTGATCAGTTCTTTCTACCCTGAAATCCAGGCTGCCCACGCCTGTGACAATGACAGCGTGCAGAGGAATGCTGCCTTCTTCAGGGAGGTAGGCAGAGTTTCACACTGGTCCTCCCCATTGGCCATGAGTTGAGCCACACTTGCCAAATACGGTCACTTTGGTCAGGGACAAAGGCTTTTACCTGGGATCCCTGTCCTTTTGTGTTGCTTACTCTTGTCCTTAAGTCCCATCACCTCCCACAACCACGTGAACAGCAGTCTGGAGGCACTGGGGCATTTTGATGCTTTAGCATTGAGACCCCTGTGCTGGGTGCACCTGCAAAAACCAGGAGGACTGGCTAGTGTCAAAGACACATGGGCAGAAGCACTCTTGGGTGCTGAATGTCTACTGTGTGTGTCAGTGCTGATGATGGCCCCAACCCCACACATCTTGCAACACCTACCTGGGGTCTCAATATGGAGAGACATGAACTGCCCCAGCCAGAGTCTGAGTCTACCTCAACAGTGTTTGCATGGGATTTTATGGCATCCTTGCCATAAGGAATTCAGAATATAGTGTGGGAAATTGGGACACAAGAGTAGGACACAGGGACTTCTCCAAGGCACGGTCCTGTTTCTGTGTGGCTTAGACTAGAGCACTGTAAGCTATTGCTGTTGATAGGTCATCCTTATGTCCCACCTCCAGCACAGTGTTTGGGGATGTGTTGTGACATAGTCACAGAACACCAGGAGAAATGATGAGGCTCAGTCTCATACAGAAATAGCTGGGTGGTCTGGTCAGCTTGGGCTGTCCTTTAAGCTTCTGTCTTTATATCAGTGAAGCTGGGAAGACAACGAACAGGGAGTACGGCCTGAGTCTCAGGAACTTCTGTGCCCTTTGTAGAGGTGAGGCACAGGCAGGCCCTGGCTCAGCGAGGGGACTAGTGTCAAAAGGCTGCTGGTCAGTGAGGTCAGTGGTACAGTCCTGCACTTGGGGCTCTTGTTCTTCAAGCTGCACAGCACTATGTTTAGGAGCTACCTCTAGTTCGGTCACTGGTAGGCAGCAGGGTTGGTGTCCTGGCCCTAGCACCCAGCATGGAAAAGGAACAGCAGCTTGCAGAGGATAGCAGCTTGGACCTGGGCAGGTCTATCTGACAGTGGAGTGCTTCCCCTGCTACTGCCCTGAAATCTTCCTGGGGCTCTCTGTTGTTTATGATTCAAAATTAGTAGCCTATAAAAGAAGGTAGTAGAAGTGGGGTTTAGGCCCATATACACCAACTCATCCGAAACACACTTCTGAAACATTGAGAAGGAATCACAGGGCTTTGAACACATGCACACAGAGTAAGTCTGCTGGCCTCCAAGAGATGTAGTGGGAGTGTTGGAGCTTGAGTGAGAGCAGATGGGCTTGGAGGGGATCCTAAGGAGGGTGCAACCAGAGTCTGTCCTGCTCTAGGTAACACGACGAACAGCACGGATGGTGGCTGAATGGCAGTGTGTTGGCTTCTGCCATGGTGTGCTCAACACTGACAACATGAGCATCGTGGGGCTCACCATTGACTATGGACCCTTCGGCTTTCTGGACAGGTCTGATGGCCCTAGGGCTGCAGACACCGACAACACAAGGTCATGGGTATGGGGAAGGAACAGGGAACATTTGGCCTGTGTTTTGCTTGTAGGCCTTTATCAGTGTTTTGTTCCAGCTGTGCCTGGTTAGCCATTCCTGCAGGCAGAAATCCAAGGGTTTTGTTGGAACTCATGTAGACTGGGCTGGCCTTCAACTTGTGATCCTCTTGCCTCAGGTTCCTGAGTGCTAGGAGTACATGAGTGTGTCATCAAATCTGGCCTCCCTGGAGGCAGCATGACATCCTTAGTGTTTTAGAACGAGTCCCTCCATTTCCAGGCTGAAAGATCAAAGGAATAAAGGGGGGTAGGGGCAGAAGCAGGTGGTAAGCAGGGAGAGCTGCATCTGGTCCAAAGCAGTCTTGATCTCAAGGTGCTCCAGAGGGCGTCCTCCCTTGCTCCTGTGGCAGAGCTGATTATGTACAGGCAGAAGAGTATAGAGCCTCAAGTTCTTCATTTGAGCCCCCAGGGCAGAACAGAGCAAGAGTGGTGGCCTCATAGGCATGGCCCTGCCATCCCCGAGAGGCCTGCCCTATCTGTCCCCTCTGACAGCACTGCTCCATGTGGTAGGTATGACCCTGACCATGTGTGTAATGCCTCCGACAATACTGGGCGCTACACATATAGCAAGCAGCCCCAGGTATGCAAGTGGAATCTGCAGAAACTGGCCGAGGCATTGGAGCCTGAGCTGCCCCTTGCCCTGAGCGAGGCCATCCTAACAGAGGAGTTTGACACCCAGTTCCAAAGGCACTATCTACAAAAGATGCGCAGGAAGCTGGGCCTCGTTCAGGTGGAGCAGGAGGAAGATGGTGCACTTGTGGCCAAGCTTCTGGACACTATGCATAAGACTGGTGAGCACAGAACTGTTGCTGTTGGTGTCCTCCTAACACTAATTCTCCATCCACTAACACTCCCATTCTGCTTTCTGTGGATCTGACTGCTCTAGGGACCTCAGTAGAGAAATCCTGTTAGAATTTACCTGTGATCAGGAAGCTATAGGTTCCTCCAGTATGGTAACAGCACGTGTCCAGGTCTTGCTCCACGAACGTTGCATATCCAGTACCTAGTGGTGATGATGCCTAGGTTTTCTCATTTGGCTGTTGCATAGTGTTGCTTTAACAATGTACCAGTTTGAGTCCCAGCTTTCAGTTGAGTATACAGCTAAGGGGATTGCCAGATCATGTTTAGCTCACCCCTGACTCCTTTGGCTGCAACATCTAATGCTGTATTGAGCAAAAGATAAGTGGGTATCTTTGTTTTGTTCTTGGTCTTAAAACTGTGGGCTTTGTCTTGAGATAGGGTCTCACATGTAGCCTAAGATGGCCTTGAACTTAGGCTCCTCCTGCCTCAGCCTCCTGAATGCTTCTCTAAGTTTTTGTATTTTGTCTGGCATTAGTATGGTCACATTAGCCTCTTTAGGTCCTGTTTACCGGATTTTTTTTTTTTCCTGTCACTTTCAACATACTTGGATCCAAAGCAGGCATCCAATGGACAGCAGTGGAGTCAAATGTCTTTTCCTCCATTCTGCAAGTTTGCCTCTTCATTACAGGAGTGGTTAATCTGTTCAGTTTCAGAAATTCCTGACAAGGAGGCACTTGGATTAATTATTTTTTCTATATGCCTTTTTTTTTTTTTTTTTTTTTTTTTTGAAAAAAAAAAAAAAAAAAAAAAAAAAAGAGGACGATAAATCTTTCACTGTGATATATCAAAATAA